GAGGCATACCTTCACCATAACTGCAACAAAAAATGACCATTGAATACTGAAATAGGCTCTGCCTCAAACCTTCACAAATTTGCTTTCCAAATAACTCAACCTGAACCTGCTCCAAACTGCCATTTATATATCCAAACCAGTCTTATCATGATTAAAAAAAAAATGATAACTGTAGAGCACTGAATTCAAACCAAATTAACATTTGAAAAAGAATATATGCTAATTCTACCATTAAATTCATGCTATATGTGGAAAAGTAATGTTAAATCACCTTCTCAAAGCAAATTTATCAGCTGCGTGGGACTCAAAAGATTGTAATGTGTGGAGTAACTGCGTTGATTTTTCAATGCTCCTTGTTATTAGAAGATATGTACCATCACCCTCAATGTACATCCTAGCCCAAACACAGAGAGAGATAAAGCTTCAGATGGTGACAGGTTTTAATTGCTTTAGGTGTGAGAAAAAATTATCACAGGTCACCAGAAAAAACTAACCTCAGAACCTGAAGTCCTAGACCAACTAAAATGTCTCTAATATCTTCAACCTTATGCCAACCAAGTAGACTTAAGATAGCCCCTACAGACATCATCAAAGTGAACTTCAACATGATAAAATTCACTATCAGCAGGATATACTCTACAAATAATTAATATCATAATGCAATAACAAAGCAAATGATCAATGAAGACTAATTTACAACCCAACCTGATCCATCAAGTGCAACACCAAGCAGCAGTACGTAGAACTTGTTTTCACTACTTAGTATTAGAGCCACTTCTCTGCATATGGAGCCCAAAAGGAAACAAATAAGAGATTGCAGAAATTTTCATAAAATTTTTTGTTTCGCTTAATTAGATCACAGTAGAAAGAAGTTGACCAATAAGAAAACTTCACGAAACATTCAAAAGGCAGAGGAAAACTCTTGGATATCATAATAGAACAAAAATGGCAACTAAAAAAACAATAAAATTCAGATAATAACCAAGGAAACTGCAAAATTTAAATTTTATTTTTCGACCACTATGACTAATGAGTCGCTCGGTCTTGAAATAAAAATAGTGCCCTTGATAAACAGACTCCAAGACCACATTAAATTATAGATCAACATACAAACAGCCCTTCTACAAATTAGCCATGAAACTCTTTCTTGTTTTAGTAAGATACTTGATCTATCAGAAATATTTTAATCAAGTTCTATTTTGAGCTTTTGTGGAACCAAAATGTAAAAAGTGCTGAGATTCCACTTTAATAAATAAAGGTATCTCAGTTTTCATTTTCTAAATTTATATATCCATACATAAAACCATGTGAAGTTGTTGAAAATGAAAAGTTGCTCTGGAAATGATTGTAAATATATGGCATGAGAGTGGAAAGAAAATCTTTCTTTTCAAACTCGTGATATACCTTAACAATTATCTTCCAAACAGTATTTTCATTTTCAATAACTATGCATGTTTCTATGAACGTATATAAGTTCAGAAAATAGAGAAAATATCTCTACGTACTGAATCAAACATTAAACTTTGCGTAAAATGAATGTGTCCATTAATATTTGGACCAAGAAATTAGGACTAATTTGTACTGTAGATCATAATTATAGGACTAAAATGGTAATTCCATAATTTTACGAATAAAATGCAATCAAGTGGTACATTGAGAAAAATAGTAAACCGACCTAATTCAAGAACTAGTTACTTGAGAAATTTGGACGAGTGTAAAACCAATTTCGCATGCACATGTAGAATAACAATTCCAAGAATTTGTCCTTCATATGGCGTAGAGATAAGTACACCAACGGA